TCTAAGCATATTTCTGAGAAATACATTTTTTTTAGTAACTACACCAGATGGGGTGTAAGTACACAGCCTCTGTGACAGGTTCTCCTTTATCTGATCACAGAAAAAAGGAGAACCTGCTGTATCACAAACTGCCATCGGACTATGTTGAATGTACAGATTTAGAACCTTCATTCATTCTTCATAAAAGTCATCCATTTGAGACTTAAAATGGCTTAGATGTATTTCTTTACCCTCACCTGCCTTATTCATTATGTCAGGGGTTATAAATATGGAAAGGAGGCCATCTTGTCACCTAGCTGTGACCCCTTATTCTCTATTTAGGTAAGGCAGTCAGACGTGTTAACCAGGGTTAACTAGGGCCATTTATCACCAAAGATTGTTACTGTTTTGATTGATTAGACAAAATTTGAAGAATATTTGTTATACAGGTTAAAGATGAAGAAGATTGGTGAGTTCTCTTAAAGGGCACAAGACCAGCAAGATTTAAGGAGGCCTCTGTGCAAAAGTTCACAGCTGTCCAAATTAATAATGGTGTAATCTATTTGACATCTTGACTTGTTTTCTATGGCAGCCTTGAACTTGAGCTTATTAACTAAGTGCTGGTATCAAAGTTCAATTGCTAGTACGGTGAAGAAAACAGCAGGGGGTTATATAATGCAGAGTGAAAGAAAGAAACAAAAATGTTTCCTCTTCAAAGAGGGAGCAATGTGACAAAGAGACTGAAGTAAAATTCAAGGTGTCTCCTTCAAAGACAGATAGACATGATGAGAATTATTAGAAGCAGAGTTTATGACAGATCGAAGGAGATGAGAGAGCATCTCGATGCAAGGACACGAAGAATGACAATAAAGGAGAGAGATGAGAAACAGGAAGAAAACAACGTTAGAAGAAAAATAGGTGTGCAGTACTAACCTTGAGGCAAGACTGAGTGCAGCAGCAGACAACGTTGCATCGTAAAGATAAAAGAAAGACAGGGAGAAGGGGAGGGAAAGGTGAGAGGGGAAAGAGGAGTAGAGTGCAAGGTTAGCCAGCTTGATCAATCTTCAAAGAACAGAGGAGATATGAGAGACAGAAGAATTGACAGAGAAACATAATTAACCATAGAGAGACGGCAGGCAGACGTTCAAACGGACAGACAGGCAGGCAGACAGTCACATAGACAGGTTCCACACAGGCATTTGGTCTTCCAGTGGGCTACTGTGGCAACAGGGCCCGCTCACTAGTCGCCCCATAAACATTCCAATTGAAATGAAGCTCTAATCGCAAGGTAAGGAAAGGAAGCAACGAATCGCAATGTGAGCGCAAGCTCATGGTGAGTTATTTCTGCAGGGGTTCAGATTTTACGGTGACTTCTTTGCTTTTCCGTGCAACAGTGCGCGAAGTCTCCATAAAATGGCTTACTGCATGCAACGATTATTGTTTAAGATTCGAGGGAAATCATGTTCTAAATACTTTCCCACACAATTTCTCGTGTTTGAACTGGCACAGCTCAAATTCCAGCTTGGGTCTATGCTTGAAAACTCGTATTAATGACGGTGTGCCAGAGACAAATGGACCATTTTAGAACAAAGCAACAATAAACCATTTGAATCTCTAATTACTCATTTTGATGGCCTGGTCTCTCCATCTTATTTCCATTTACTAACTTGCATTCTGCTTCCCTCTTCACATCAATGACTCTCCACCTGTTATTTAATGATTTTCTCCCTGCTTTTTTATCTCCACGACCACCTTCCTCTCTCTTTCCTCTACCTCTCCCTCACACAGTTTTCCACTTTTCCATCCAAAGCCTTTATTTTGGCCATCAGAACAGATTTTCAGCTCAATTTCCCCTCAGTGTGAAGTCACTTAGTCTGCTCCAATTACCATCCCAGTTAGTGAAATAAATAACCTGGTACCATTACAGCTGGATTTACACTGGAGGGGAAAGAGAGAGGCCGAGTTTTTTACCCCTTGTTTAACCCAAATCTGATTTTTTTCATTAGTAAGGTTCCCACTTGCCCACTTGCTCACTTGCCCAGTGTGAGCCCAGGTGCCAAGCAAAGAGTTGGCCACAGGCATTATATTCTCCTCTGACGTACCTATTAGCTTCAGGCTAAGTCTCATAATTCACAGGAGGCTCGGTTAGCCCTGGGATAAATCGAGAATTTCTGCATGTAGTGTTAGCAGGTCAGTAATTGTTTGTGTAAAAAAAAAGAAATCTGTGCAGTGTATAAATTTATATGTTTTATTTACTCATCAGCCTAAAATACCTCAATGATGCATTTAATGTTTGACGTCTTAATCGCTCCTCTTTGTGTTACTGTATACTCAAAGCAGTTTTCTGCCCCACTGTGGTTTGTTGGTTGTATTTTCTCCTGGCAGATTTGTTTTTTTTATGACTTGTATCAGGATTTAGGCTAAATATAACAATTCTGTCCTGCTCTTCAAAAGCTCATGAAAATCATCTTACGTTTGCCAGCCAAAAAGGAAAAAGCAGTCCAACTCAAATTACTGCATTATTGCCGTTTACTGGCAATTTTACACTGTTCAGTGCATATGAATAAAAAATAATAACGTTCTAATGAGAGTTGTCGGAGGTGCAGAATTATCAACTCTGGGCACATTGTACTGAGCTGAATATGAAGCTTCTCATTTATCCCTGACTAGCCACAGTAGACCTGCATTCCTACGTGTGATGCTTGAAAAAAGTGTAGCAGTGAATGCTAATACATTCCTGCTGTCTTGATTTTTATGCTTTTTTCATATCATAACACTAAACAAGTTAGTTGTCAGACTTATGAGTCTCAACAAAACTGCTAAAAGTCTATATTTGGGACACAATACATCCATTTAAGCTTCTCCTGTCCTATCTGATATGAGAGCAAGAGGTGAGAACAGAGGGTGAAAGCAACAGAAACTCAGGAGAGAGGTGTAGTTTTCCCTAACAGATCTAACAGCAAAACGAAACTCTTTCATAAAGTTGTTAAAACTGCCACTATTTCTTCTGCTCTATAATTCTGTTTGACCTCTTGGAACCTTTAACTTCCAAGTAATGACTGTCAAAGGAAATGTGGCGTTCCAGAGAATAAAGGAAGGCTGGAGCTCACTGATTTAATTCACAACTTTTAATTGGACAAATAGACAAATGTTTCAGGACTACTGTGACTTCCTCTGAGTCCTGATCTGTCTGTGATGAGGACACAGTGGTGATAGAACAATGAAAGGCCATGAATTTAATCAGTGCGCTCGGGCCCTCTTTAATTCTCTAGAAGTTTGCTGCCCTTGAACTTAAAGACACTTGGCTCAGCTGTGTTTTGCTGAATGGTGTACAAAGATTCTTCCTCTTACAATAAAGTTTAACTTCCTCTTATAAATCTACTTAATTGTACTAACGTAGAATAATCTTTCCAGTTACACGGGAAGTTCCTCCAAATTTCAGATATTGAATATCTTTTCATTTAATTTTATTGATCTCCGCTGAGGCAATTAAACATCACAATGGATGTGATGTAAGCACACCCCATGATTACCAATCTGCCATTGTAAATGCCTGTCTAGTTGCATCATAGTGGGATCCATAGCTCAGGGGTGCTGTAAATCAGCATCTGTGGCTACTGGCGTACTAGTTTTAAGCCATCCGGTGTTCAACTGTTACTTAATGGTCTAGTATTTCAACTGACCAGACGGAAACAAGGATGGAAAATACTCAATCTTTCAAAAATGACTAGCAACCATAAGTATTACAATCCGACTGCTACATACAGAAAAAGAGTTTCAGAGCGGGAAAGAAGGAGATTGCATCCAAAAAAGAAACTTGGGAATAAAGTCTCAAGAATAGAACAAGATAAAAGCATCTGAAGTCTCAAAGATTAAAGGGATAAAGAAGCATGCAGGCAGACAAACAAAATGGCCTCTAACAGAATCTGGCCCATCTAATCCTCTATATAAAAACCTTTATCTCAGTGCTTCTTCGATAATTCAGTAAATCCACCTAAAAAATCAAACAACGCTAGCTAACTTTTTGACATACAAAGTGACGAAGGCTTTTCTACTGTGAAGTGCTCTCTACAAAAACAGACACTTAAACGAACACAGAGCTGTGAAACTGATCATCAGGAGGACAGGTAATCAGAGTTAGGTATACATGCAAGCAGACAAAGGCAACAAGCAGATAATAAGAAACCGGCAGAAGAAAAGGAGACACTAGATAATGAGGTAGACTTAGTGTACTCAGACATAAACAGTGAGAACAGACTGATCCAAAATTACACAGACAAGATTAGAAAAGTGGTTAGAAACAGCAATCTGTTGCTAAAAAAGCAACAAAATTAGTGAACTATCCTGATTCCTATTGTAAGAACAAGAGTATGTTAAATTCTGCAAGTCAAGCATCCTTGGCTGTAAGTAAAGCAAAAAAGTGAAGTGAAAAAAACTGAGCCACTAAATAAAAGAGTTGCATCATTGTCAAGAACAGAGGCTCAAAGACTTTCAGCTACAGTGGTGCCAAGCTGAGCCTTATTTGACAAACTTTTGGGAGCTGTCTGGCCTGTCATCCTGCAGTAAGAGACAGCGAAAACTTCTGCTCATGCTTAGTGTTCGCAAGCACTCAGTCTGATTTCTGGACTTGAGAAGAATATGCCATAGCAGAGAAGCTCGGTGACTAGCAAACCAATGCTGCAACTCTTTGATGGTGACTGTTAGTGAGCATAGTGAGCTCTCTCCCATGTGGAAAAGCCTGGAAAACAGGACAAAAGTATGCAAAGATGAATTGATTTAGTCCTTTTCTTTTCTTTGAAAATTCCATCTTTGACAGATAACTTGCAGCACTTCCAGACAATGACTTATAACGTTTAATCCACCTACTGGTGGTCACGTGGCCAATACTGAAATATCAACTTTTCCACATGGGGACTGATATCATAGGACTCTCATATTCCGCCCTCCGACAAGCAAAGTGAATTTTGTCGTGCAGTAGTGTGCTAGCCAACTGACTAACAGGGTCCACCAGCCACTCACGTGCCCAAGTAGTCCCACACCAGCCCCCCCACTGGCTGCTGAGAGGCAGCAGGGGGCGGGGTCTGTTTTCGCGACTGCTGAGAGCGCCACAGATGAGGGGTGGAGGGATTTCTAAGGTGTGATGAGCACATTTGCACAAAATCAAACGGAAACCCACTCACACCGGTTCAGAGCCACATGGTTATGACGTGTGTAAGCGCACATGAGAATAAAGTGTGATGACAAAAGCAGAGATGAGTGGCGGCATGGGAGGTAACCAGGAAATGTTGGGGAAAAGGGGAGAAAGAAGAGAGGAAGACGTGACAACAATGAGTTAATGTTACCTGGAAAATCACCACACACTGGGAAAGTGTGTTGTCTGAAACTGAGCAGACAACCACGGAATGGAAAAAGAAGTCTGTTCATACATAAAACCATTATTTCAAAAAGCAAAAAGAGTTTTTTTAGTTCTATGTTGACATAGGAAGGAAGGGGGTCCAGGATTTTTAGATAAAAACAGCTTGTTTTATTTTTCTTCCTGATCTAATTCTCATCCTCTCTCACCTCTCTAATTCATGGATCTTTTTCTCCTTATCGTTCTTTTCATTCTCCATCTCCCTGAGGATTTCCAGAAGTCGTTCCACCTCTGATTGGGCCTTCCCGGCATCCTCTTTGTACCGGCTCACTTCCTGCTCTAAGCAGGAGATGCGTTCGGAGAGTTCACCGTTGGCCTGGGAGTCTGCTGCTGCACTCTGAGCCTGGAACAGAAATTAATTATTCAAAATAAACCAAGCGTTAGCTTTCAAAATGAGGTGACCACCATCCGATCAAAACGATAAGTTCAGACTAGAAACCCTTTGCCAGTAACAACAACTGCTCTGAGAAAGGACTGGATGGATCTTATGAAAGTGACCCCTGCTTGGGGGTTTCAATGGTATTATGGCACATACGTAGAGCGTATAAGTACTCTGAGGTTGGATAAACTGATAGATACCAAAATATGATATATACAGAAATCCAGAGACCAAATAAGACTCAAATCTCAAATCTTAGTTTTAGAAATTCTGCATTGAGAATATGATTTTGCCCCTAAAAAAGATTCTTTCTGCAATAGTGTTGTGTATCTTGTGCTGGATTTCTATATTTACTGCTCTTCTTATTATCAATTTTTATTTAATTTTTCAAAAGTTGACAGGAAATTCAGGGACACCCAGCTAAATTTCATTGGTCTTGGTCTTTCTTGGATCTACACAGAACAGGTTGAGGGTAATGTAAGAATTCTGCATTTAAAAAAAAGGATTTTTAAGTAATCCTGGCTGTGTAAGTTGTTTTTTTTGTTCCCTTTTTTGTGTGTTTACTTTTTCTTTATTATGTGCTTCAATGAAGCAGTAATATCCCTAAAATAAGTTTGGAAACTCATACAAAGGTTTCTTACTTACTTTAAAATCATGCACACTTTCTTAGATGAATAATCAGCATGTGACTATTGAATCAGAGCTCAGCCCACATCTCCCACACAAAAAAATTAACGAAGAACAAACACAAAAAGAATTATCCGTCAAAACTGATCTTAAACAATGCGCTCCATTAAAAGGCTTTTTGTCCACAGTATGCATAATTATGCCTTCTGTGTTTTTCAGTGAAATTACATTATTAATCAATTGAAGGCTAAGCATTTCCCATACACACAGAAAATAGGCAAACCTAAATAATGTTCTTTGTGTAATTGTTAAGGTTATGAAAACATTTACAGATTCAGAGGCAAATTAAAACTAAGTTGAATGGTTTTCATCTTGCTCCTGCTCTGCTTGGCCACACGAAGAGAAAATGAGCAAAAGAAAGAAAAGGAATAAAACAAAGAAAAATAAAACAGGTTATAACCAGCTCGGAGGTTAGAACAGCTGTGTGTGTTTCCCAGAAGCAAATGTTGCTCTTGGGACAGAGAGACTTCATTTGTGTGTGTATGTGTGTGCCTTTGTGCCACAATACATAAACCTTATTAGTTTTGGAAGGTGTGTGGCAGCTTTTCTTTTTTAGTTCTTTATGTGGAGAGGAAATGTTTGGGTGTCTGACGATATAAGAAGACCAGGGTGGAGGACAGAGAGAAAGATAAATAAGAAACTAAGAAGGAAACATTACACTAAATGTCACGTGCCTTTTTCCATTCTTTATGGGGTAACAGAAAGAGTCTCATGAGGGAAGAACCACAGATGCACTGACACCTCCATACATATTCCCCGTTCTCTGTCTTTGTCACATACTCACACAGACGCACACACACATAGACACACGTGTTGTGTTGGTGCTGTCTTCTCGAGTCTGTGAAAATGACTGTAAGGCTGTCAGCAGGCTGTCACACACGCAGCATTTTATGAGCTGCTGTGTGGAAGAGAATAAGTGATGTGCAAGCACTCTCATACACATGCACACACACAAATAAGCATCGTTCTCTATTTCTCTCCCCATCTCTTGGAAAAATAATTAAGGGAAAACAACAAGGCAGAGGAGAAAGAGATGTGTTGCCAAAACCGATGGTGCCTAAGTGTTTTTCTCTCCACTAAGTCTTTTAGAATTCAACTGAATCTGTCTATCATGGACATAAACAAAACTAAATAAATCCACCTGAATTGGTGTTCCGATGCTTCAGGGAAAGGGCAAATTGGTCTACTGTGATTTCTGTAAGCTTTCCTGGTTCCCTGAATAATTCTTCAGTTAATTTATTGGCCGTTTTTTTAGCGAGCTAACCTTCTTGAGCTGGTTCTCCAGTTTGATACACTCCTCTCGCTTCTGCTCCAGGTTGATTTCCAGACTTTTCAGCCTGTTGTCCTTCTTCAGAGTCGAGGAAGCCAGAGAGGAAGCCTTCTCTTTAAGATCCAACACTGATGTCTGGGGAGAAAAAACTGCGTAAAACAAAATTCAGCCGCACTTGTTTCTATGAAAGAAAAAACAAAATATTCGGGGTTCAGTGGACTCCTCTATGTTTTTTGGGCCCAAACCACAGCTGGAAAAAAAAACAGATTTTTACAAAAAAGTCTACACTGTTTGACCTATGTTGCTCCTCACAATTTCACATTTTGTGTTTGCACCAACAGTTATCAGAACCTCCTTTAAGTCTTCTTCTGTTAGTGTCTATTTGTACTTCACAAATCGTAGAACAGTACATAAAACAGTGTTTGCTATTTCCAGGTGGTAAGAATAAGATGATGAACTACATGCATGTGGAGTTACTGTCCTTCATGTTCTTCTCCACAGTTAGATTACTAACTGTGTCCCTTACTGCTCATAATATTTCCCATGATCTGCATTTTTTTTTTCTCACTTTCAGGCTCAAACACTCCATCCGTGAAGTCTCTCTCCCCCCTTTCTTTTCTGTTTTTGTTCCCTCTTTTGGTAAAGGCAGTGAAACAGAAACCAACAGGACCAGAAGCAGAGACGCTCAGACGTGTAATTTTACCCTTGACTGACCATACCAACTCCAGGCAACAGATCATCATGTTTCACTGGGCTATGGTCAAAGAAACCTTGCAGCTTACTCTGAATATATTTAGGTTCACATATATATTGCTGTAGTCAGACAAACCTCACATCTGCGTCAAGCTGTGAAGACAGGAATGTTTTCCCATGTATTTCTCAAATTATATCATGGAACTTTTAGTGTTATGATCCCACTATCACAACGGATTGACAAAAGAGGTTAAGACAGAGAGCTGTCTTTTAACTACTATTTCTATCTCAATATTTATTCACAAAAATAGTTTGATCTTGGTAACTTTGCCAAGTCTTTTTTGTTGAGCCTTTTAGGAAAAATACCAAACTAAATTGTCATGATTGTCTGCGGTGGAGGAAATAATGACAAACTTGGCATTTTTAACTTTATGGGGTGATCATCATAAGAAAAAGAACACCTGGGCAATGTCCTCTAAATTTTCCCTGATCACAAGTTTTGAATGTCTGAGGGCCCTGGATTTTTGTTGTAAAGTCTTAGCTGTCTGTCAGAGTAAAGATCTTGGCTTTCTGAGATCTATTCTACAGTGACAGCTCAATCACGTTTTTTGGAAAGACAGTGTGTCTTCTACCTCCCGGTCAGCCAGGTCAGCCTGCAGCTGGGAGACTTTCTCCTTCAGTTCTTTCAGTTCCTTCTTGCTGGATTCCATTTCATCCCCCTTTTCTCTCTCGTCCTTCTCCCGTTGATCCTTCAACCGCTCAATGATTCGTTCCTTGACATTGAGTCGGAGAGAATCAGGCAGAAGATGGAGAGAGGACACGGAGACACAAGTTACAAAAGGGCAGAAAGGGACAGATTTAAGAGAAAGGAAAAAGTTGTAGTTTGTTTGAGGGCGTGATGGAAAAAGCGAAACAGAGAATGAAAATACCTCATACTCTCCAACAGCCATTCACAGTCACTTAATATCAAGTTTCTGTACTAATAACCATCGCATTAAATTTTATGTACATGGCAGCTCTGACAGGATCTAACAGCCAACAGTCATTTTACACACAGAAAGCGTTTTGGCCGTGGATGTAAAATTCACAACCACTAAAACACAATAGCCAATCTCTGAAGCTTTAGAACAACACAGCAGCCAGTTAAAGTACAAAAGTTCATACAAGCATAAGAAGTACACAAGCCCAGTGAGTGTAAACCACTGGAGCCGATTGTGTGTGCGCGCGTGTGTGTGTGTGCACATTTTTGTGAGATTTCATGTGAGTTTCCTCTTCAATAGCGATGACACAGGCGGGGTTCAATTTTAGACTTAAGGTTAGGATTACATAAAACAGTTGTCTTTTTCCAAATGAACCTTTTGGGAATTGAAACAATTTTGGGTTTAAAGTCAAGTAAAACAGAGTATACTCTTTATATTCTAAGGTTTGTTTATTTTGGATGTAATGGAAACGATCTATTCCTTATTACATCTTTACCTTTGATGAACATTACAAATTACACATGTCACTGCCCTCACTGCTTTAATCAAATTTAAGAGGAGCTGCTGATCAAATATGTGCTAACGTCTCTTAAAAAAGTGGCAGTTTTGGCAGGTTGCTGATCTGAAGGATTCAGGTGTGTGCAAACACAGTTCTATGGCACATTATGGATGATCTCAGAGTCAACTGCTGCTCTCCATCAGTCTGCCAAGAGTTACAAGGCCAAGCAAATCATTCTACAGCGAGAAAGTTATTCACAAGAAAAAAGACATACAAGACAGTTTTCAATCGAGAAGTGAACGGCTCAACAAGCCACTAAGTCACAAACTTGAATTAAAAGTAAAAAGTTTGGTTGGATAATCACATATTTAACAGTAGAATTAAAATGAACGTTGAATTCATGTTGAGTTGTACTCATACAGATTTGATGAATTAAGATGACAAACAATTTAAAAAATGGAAAACACAATGTTTTCACAAAATATCAAATTACGCTGACAGAAAAAGTCTTGAACAATAGAATATGAAGATGTGTAAAACTAGGGTTAGCGCTGCATAACATAATTATGTGGTTTAAGCAAAAAAAAAAGATGCCATATAAGAAACGACAACTGGAGCTGAAGTCTTAAAAGGAAAAAAAGCTAAAAACAGAAGATTACAGAATGGACCAAAGAATGAAAATGAATGGAAAACGGCTCATAAAGCAGACTCGTCCACTGGATCTTCCTGCCAACACTCACACTCACATTCACTGACACCCTGCATATTAGTCACTGGACAATTAATAGCACTGTTTTCTGTGCAAGTGCACTTCCAAAGGAGATTGACTTTGTAACATAATCACCTGAAACAGTACAAAAATATAGGCTGATATGTCACTGGTTAGTTTCCCAGAATCAGGGTCAAGTCCCCTCAAAAACAGCCTCTAGTGTCATAAAACAGGCACTTCTGGCTGCTTCATGGGTATCAAACCTTATAGTTCAGGCCTAAAGAGCAATCAGTGAGTTAGTTCAGGCATCTGGTTGCATGTCGGTCAGCTCCTCTTTTTATAAACACAGGCTGTGAATAATTTAATGATGAAACAGTCAGTGTGATCATTGGTTCATTTCCATTTATCCGGAGTCGTTAGGTCAACCTGTGGGTGGTCGGAGGTTTGGCTCATTGAGTTTTTATTAATGTAACCTTGCCCGACCGCTGACCCAAGGTTGACCAGCAGTGTGTGTGTGAGTGTGTGTGTCTACCTTCTCAGCCAGTGCCTCCTCCAGTGTTCCCAGTGCAGTGTCTGTGTTGGAGGTGTCGGTCTGCAGAGACTTGACTCTGTCTTTGAGGCCGCTCAGCTGTTTCTCTTTATCCCTCAGCTGATCCTGTAGATTCTCAATCTGAGGAGAGATATATTCATCGGTCGAGTTTATTCCAACACGTAATTCACCTTTTGAGGGTTGATTCATATCGTGTTGCCCCAGATTCAGCCAACAGGAAAAAAAGGCAGAGGAGCAGGTGCTGCTCCAGAACACCGACAAAGCACTGAGGTTTGCAGATGAACCACAAACACGAGAGGGGATTTTTAACATGTGGTTAAAAGTCAGACTAGTTTTAGTTTCATAGACTAACTATTTATATCTTAAAAAGAGACTCAACAACTAAAAACTGGGGCTGAAAAAGGACAAGTCTGTATTCAAAACAGATTAATAAGTGCTGTCCTTTTAGAAAGGAATCACGTGGCATCATTCAATGTGCCAACCGTAACACAACAACTTTTATTTTAAAGTCTATATGAGTCTATATAAATTTGAAATGACTTAAACTGTAAACCAAAATTCAAAGATGTCTGTAAATTACAGCTAATGGTTTATTTGCATAACAATTTTCACCTTTTCTTCTCACCTTCCATCTGCTTTGATCCTCTCATATTAATTTAAAAGCAACACATTTTCTGTCCAGAGTCCATGACTACCGCCATGTGATCCCATAAGAATATTTAGGGTGTTAAGACATGTGTAACATAAGACATCTCAGCTCTGCTACTTTTTAACTCTTTATCCAAATACACAGTTTCTATCTTAACCTCTTTCTCCACTTCTCTTTTCTCATGTCCTTTCACAGTCATCTGGAACTATATTCATTTCCTGTTAAAACATCCAATTAGCAGGAATAACTTGAGCAACTTTGTTTGTGTGTACGGGACGACCTTCCAAAGCACGTGCCCTTACAGGCCTTTTTAAGAGTTCAATTTTGGTTGTGAAGTTGAGGTTATAATGAGGTTTGAAAAAAGAGGCACAACTATAAAATGAGGGTCCCGCAAAGATAGGAATACAATTATACTGTACTGGAGGTGAGATATAACACCATGTCGGTCTTCTTTAAGAAATAGATGGAAAAAAGATTAAACAGTACAAGAGGTTGAAAGTCTGCCAAACCCAGGTGGTGACATTTTCTAATTTCAGTCTCTTCTCTTTCCTTTCCTTTATAATCTGTTTGACAGAAATTAAGGAGCTGAGTGACAACTTCAACCGAGAAAAAAAAAGGCCGGGATGGTATGTAACCTGTGACTCATCTGCAGGTGTAAAACTCACCTTTGCAGAGCCAGAGACTGAGAGAATGTGTGTTCATACAGTAAAACATTTCCAGCACCTCATTAATCAACGGGTGACCTGACAGCTTGACTGACACATCCTCCACCTCCTCCTCCTCTCTTTTTCACACACACACTTGACACTGAAGGGTCGTCAGACTCTTTGATCTTGTGTGCATTTCCACAAACTGACAACTGCAGGTTGGATGGGTCTCTCTTTCTCTCACACACACACTAACACCTACAGATTCATAAAAACACATATACATAGAACGGTCATATAGAAGCACCAGTATGCACAAAGGCACGCGCATACTGCTTTTTTAATGTCCTGTACACCAAAATAGGCAGGGGTTTAGATAAAAATGGTCAGAAAATTAAAAAGTACAGATTTTACGATAGAGGAATCAGCAATGTCTCCGTCTCAGACACTGGACTGTATTGTATTTGAAGACGGCAGAGGTCATCATTTATTAAACAAGAGGAACTCATTAGTATGCATCTGATTTTAAGCACCCTCTGTCTCTCTCCTCCCCCTCCCTGTCTTGTTTTATGTGTGTCTACTTGATTGTCTCTATCAATTATCTGCACAGAATAGCCATTTTTTTATTTTTTCCAACAGGCCACAACTGGTTGTACAAGGAGAGGCAGAGAGAGAGAGAGGGAATATTAATGCATCAAACTATTACTGCAAAATGCATAAAATGCTGGAAATTGGGGGATTGAATTGTCTGATGGATTTTAAGCTCTCTCTGTTTAATGGTATATCAATTTCATGAGACCTATTATACCCTCTATCAAACTATCTATATGCTCATTCATTTATAAAAAAAACATTATTCATTGCGGTTAGGGTTAAGGGTTATGGACTCAGTTGTGTTCGTCCATCAGGAAACAACAGCTCTCTGCATATCCAAATGAACCTGTTTGTAACCTTATGTGTGTTTCTGAACCTATTTTCCTGTTTGATTAATCCTCTTATCCATACCCTGTGCAACAACGCCATCTAGTGGTTATGGTGATCCAGGAAAAATATTTTCCGATCAGACTTCTGTGACCAAGAATGAGATGAAGACGGTTCACGTGGGTCTCCAGAGTAAATTCTTATTTCCCTCACACCTACAGGAGCTCAAATGGAGGCAACCTATGTGTGATATTGGAGTGCTGTTGAAATGTGTGTGTTAGACAGAGGATGCTTCTTACCTTCTTCTGCAGCACGTTAACTTTGCGTTCTTTGACATCCAGCATGTCTTTGAGGTCCGTGATCTCTCCTTGCTGAGTGCTTTTCTCCTCTGTCACCTCGGATATCTGCTGACTCTTTTTAGAAAGAAGAGATTCTTTTTCTTCAAGACGGAGGCGCAAGGCATCCACCTGAGCGCACACACGTGCACACACACACACATACACAGACACATCATAGTGAGAGAGGAAGGGAGAATAAACCAAATATCAACCGAAAGGAGCATCCCAAGCTCTTACCTCCGTCTGCAGTATGGCGGCTCTCTGCTCCTTGGCAGTGAGGGACTCCTTGAGCACGTCCACATGCTGTTTACTGTCAGAAAACTGATTGTTCAGAGTTTCCAGTTTGGTCCTGAAAGCCAGTAGCTCACTGTCTTTACGGCCCAGCTCCTGTTTGGCCTGTTCCATCTGAACGACACACAAGCACAGTACGAAGATAAGACTCATTTAGACAGTGTGCTGGAGGAGATTCAACGCTTTATGAGGGGAGCTCTTACACTTTGGAGCATAATAAGATTTTAAATCACCCTGGAATGTACTGTTTGTTGTACTTTTAAAATAATAAAAAGTGGCAGTATGTAGTAAATATGCAGTCCCTCCATTGGCTTCACTTTTTTCATGCTTATTTGTTTACATTTTTTGTGTGTGAGACCCTGTGTACTTTGAGGGGATGTCACTCATCCATGCATTAACCTATGAAAATGTATATGAAGGACACACAAAAGAGCACAATAAAGCCAGAGTTTCATTTCTATTAAATGACAATGATTCACACATGAGTGACACTTGACTCTAGGCAGGTCCTCATTGTTTTTCTCAAGGACACATCATGATCATTTTCCGAGCAGGACGTGAACTTTATGGCCTGTATCAACTACTTTATGTAGAGAGGGCTGGGTGTAGAAAGGGCCTTCTAACGGGGTCACTGTATCAGTATGAGTTTGACAAAATGCTACTTAAATATGTCCAAGGAAAAAAAGGAAGCATAGCCTTGTTTTCCAGTTTCTCATCTGAAAAGGAATAAAGGTTTAAATACACATGGAAATCATTGCTACAGTAGAAGGGTCAATTCTTTAATTTTGCCAAAAATGCTAAACATGTGTTAGCAGAACCTGCTTTAGAAACCCAAAACTGTTTTTGAATAAAACACAATTCAAAATGTACCGTAATTTAATACTGAAATAGATTAATAAAATTGGTAACTTTAAGTGGAAATGTATCTATGTTTATTTGATTTTTTTTTTTTGTGTTTTAAATGGTGGCTTCCAAAAAGAATAGACCCAAACCGTCATGAATTTAAAAGTTAGTTCTATTGAAACCTAAGCAAATACACTACTCGGTTCACAAAAATTTCATGCAAAGAGGGAAAGAAGAAGTTTAAAGATTTAAAAAATGGCAGGTCAGCACAGCTGTTTGAATTCAGCAGACTGGAGAGACAACTATTACCGCCAAAAGCCACAGACCTCACCCACAGCACTAGAAGTTACGACCTTCTGACATGAGTTAACACCATAACCACAGAAAACACATTTATTTTCCAAGTAAATATTGATTTTAAATATGAATATGCTGCGATGGAATTTTTGGAGAATCTAAACACATAAGTTAAATTCAAATATATGTTAAATAGCCCTGTGCAGAGAAAGCCAACATGCATAATGCATGAACATATTTTACACAAAGCTCTCAAATCCAAACAGCTGCGAGCTGTGTGGACAGTGGGTTTTTGAGGGTCATAGTTGTTTACTGATGTCTGAACACTAGTGGGATTCTACTGAGAGACTACTCAAGGAGCATCAGCCTGTCAGAGAGAGAGAAAGAAAGGGAGTGAGGAAAAAGGAGGAAAGAAATGGCAAGCAGACACAGAGGTGTGTCTCTTACTGCAGACACCTCCTGCTGAAGCTCATTGGCTCGCTGCTTTAGCTCCTCCTTCTCTGACTGGCTGTGAGTTAGCTCTTCCTTCAGCTGCTCAACCTGGCAGGAGAGGAGGGCGTCATGGGTGTTTCTCATTAGGCTAGTGTCCCTCCGCTTCCTTCCTTCCTTGCATATTAGATCTCTGTCTCACTTCAGGCAGTGGAGCAGAGACGCAAGGAAGCAACACGAGACCTAATTTAGATGAACAGCATGCAAGCTGTCCGCATTAAAAGAGGCAATACCAAATGGAAACTGAGAATTCTTTTTAGATAATTCATTAGAAATAAAGCAAATATGAATGCGAATTAAAAACATGTCAAATTCTGACATTGCATAACTCACTTTTACTAATAATCTTTGAAACATTGGGAAACAAATACACTGCTTTCTTATGTTTTACCGCAGGTAATCATCTTATTAGTTCCACTACAGCTTAGTTACTGTTCCTATTGCCCAATAAAAATAGATGACAAATAAAAACATTTTCTTTTCAAATTGAGTCTGATGTTTGTTGGAAAAACGTAAGTATGCAGGTATCTTCTGTGGAATTGTTTCAATGGGTTAATCCAACGTTTCTCGGCAACAATGTTTCATAAGTATCTTGGATCTCCTGAATGAGAGTTCAAATAAGGAAAGAAAAACTTAAACAAGTCTGAAACTGTTGTCAGGAATCATGGTTACAACTGTGATAGAAGGAGTGATGAGCTTCACTGATGGTTCACCACACAGGACCTGAATCAGGTTAATGTCACTGGTGAGAGCAATTTGTCATCTTTATTGCGAGTAATACACAAATTAATATTATCATTATTATTATTTCAATAAAAAGCTTCTACGTCAGAGGAGAAAGTAGATTATGTAATAAATTACTAAAATAAATAAAAAATAATACCTTTTAAATAAAACAAAGGTGGGTCTAACTTTTACACATCACAAGAACTCTGAGTTCCTAACTAAAATTAATTCAAAGTTATTTGGATGCATTTTAATAAAAAGACAAAACCGTCCCCCTTTACATTAATGTAAACTCATCAGAGTTAAAGATAAGTCTCTCTACTCCAGCGGTTTTGGTATTCTTGTTCAAATGAAATGCCTAAGCTCAGAGCCTCAATATAAACACTTGGCTAGTGGCTTTGGTTCTGCTGCAGCAACATGCATGTGTGTGTCTGTGCTCCATTACTTTGTTCTTCATGAACTTGGAGTGGGATCTGTAGACCTCCATCTGCTTGATCTCCTCCTCCCTCTCCTCACTGCTCAGAGCTCCGTTGGACTTGAGCATCATCACCTCCTCCTCCAGCTCTCTCATGCCGCGCTCCATCGAGCTGATTTTTGCATCCTGGCAGGGGACAGACAAACAGGTTAAAATAAAGAAAAATGCTACAGAACGTAACTAAAGGCAGGCGACATTAATACGGAATTAAAATGATATTTTACACTTCACCTCATCAAATCGGTTTACTTTCACTGTGTAATTTAGGAGTCTGATGCATCTAAACAGGCTTTGAGGTTTTCTGACATTGAATGACAAAACAAGTTTAACGCCCTACACTTTGCTGTAGGGTAGAACACTTCTGGCAGCAATGGCAGGTCTTCTTGGGAATGCTGCAAGTTTGGAAAGCATTTTCTTTGGAAATTTCTCACACTCTAGTGGAATCAATCAAGCTCAGCCAGAATGGATTGAGTGTGTCGGTCCACAGCTATTTTCAGGACTTTCCAGAGAAAGTTCTGGTCCTTGGGGTAAATGTTGGCTGAGTCTAGCCCAACTTGGCAGCAGCTTTCACAAACACACTCCTGTGTGTTACTGGGGGTAAACTTTGTAATCTGATCTCTCTGAGAAGGCTTTCACTCACTTTGTATTATTTTGTCACACTGTTTTTGTTGTTGAAGGATGATGCTCTCATCACCATCTTCGGTCTATAGATGGTAATAAGGGGTTATGCTCAGGGCCTGCTTGCCTCTAAATATAAATTATCCATCAATCTTTATTTCAGTCTTACATGTAGACTTCTCTGGGTTGGCGCTAATGTTGGTTTTTAAGCTCTGCATGCTTTGGGAAAGGAAATGTATCTGTCTGGGCATGAAATCTGTGCTTCTTTGCCATTTTTGGTGCTTCATCCTTTTCGTTATAAAACCTGCTGTTGTCAGCCACTTTGCAGCCATTATCTAGAGAGGCTGTTGGCTTTTTAATCATGCCATTTAATTCCATTAGTCGCACAGGGGCTCCGGTCAAGCTGTGAAAAAATGACAAGCTCCAATGATGGAAGCAACATGCACAGATCACGGCTTCAATAATGTCTGTGTAAGGACTATTCTAAAGCAGGATACTTTAGCCTTTCATTTCTATGCCAAATAAATAAATAAATATTCTGCTTTGTCATCAGTATTGTAATACTGACCATAAGTACGTATTTAACAGGGTTTGGCTTGATGAATTCACTGTGGGAAATAAAGGCAGACTTTGCTGACACTCGAATACTCAGACAAAGTGATTAGCAAATTACCTTCATTTCGATGACTGTCTGCAGGGCTTTGGTTTTTGTCGACTCTGGAGCTGCTTCATATCTCCTGTGCAGCTCCTGACAGAAACACACACCACGATGGTCAGCCGATGAGAAAGAAGAGGACACGTGTGACTGGAATGAGAGGTTATGGGGCAGGGGAGGAGATGGCCGTGGACCAGGAGAGGGGACAAGAGCCACGGATGGGAAGGGATGGAGGGAGGGCTGGATGGTGGGTGTAGGCCTCGGAGCGGGAGCAGGGTAGGATGGAGAGTGTTGGAGGAATGGAATGTTAGGAGGGTGGACCGAAGAGGCTGCAACAAATGAGGGAATATGTGGGGGGCAGGATGAGGAGATGTCAACAGGACAAATGGAGTGACGCCTGGGGGGAGGAGAAGGGGTAGAGAAGGAGGAAGAAAGAGGGAACTGGAGATGGCGTGATGGGGAGAAAGGAGGGCAAGGTAAGAAAGGGGGTGAAACGTTGAAAGGTGGATGGATAAGGATGGGGGAAGAAGCAGGAAAGGAAGGCGAGGCAGGCTGAAGTTGACTCCCTCGGGCAGAAGCGCTGGCTTTCAGCCTCCTTGGGTCGATGCGGCCATCCCACATCTTTTGCAGTGTGAGGAATGAAGCTAACTACCAGTAAGCTGACCCTGTTTAAGCCTTATATGTGTAGAGATGATCAAATCTGACAGCTTGGAATTATGCTAATTCAGTGAACTAGCCCAAAAACATACAAGTCTATTATTTAAATGAATTATAGAACGGCTTAAAAGTCCAAACTATACCAAACACTTCTGTATAAAAACAAAATATTTGAGACCAAACTGAATTTGAACCTCTAACAAAAGCAACTGCCTTTCAATCAAAATAGCACCACTGGTAGAATCTATACAAGAACTTATTCTCCCAATTATCAAAAATCGAAAAAACGATCCAAATTTAGAGAGCAAAATTAGAACTAATTCCAGGAGCCGTTACCGCATCACATCTCACAAGTCAAATGAAGTATAAGCCAAGAAGGAGAGAAATAAGGGGGCGGGTTGAGTGGTAGATGTAAAGGCACGGAATGAAAGGACAGATAAGAAGGGTGGAAGAGAGGGAGGTATTGAAAGCAGAGTGGAGGAGACATCCATGTATGCATCACTGCTTTTCTTTGGAAAAGCCACAAAGCACAAATACCCCCGTATGTGAAAGGGACAGTGGTGTTCCATGGCTAGAGGCACAGAAACGCACACACAAGCATAAGTGGCCGGAAAACGTAATATTCATTAAACATAACAAAAGATGGCTGATTATGCTGTGTTGAAATGTATCAACCAACCTTTTTTGTGTTTAGATGCACATCATTTCAGCGGCTGCAAAATCAAATGATGTTTTTCATATTCATGTCACGTTTGACTCTCTTTTGTGTTAGCTCATTATAACATGGAGTGACGTGTTATTTTGTACAATTCTAGTCTTACACACACATAGCATCAACATTTCCAAACTCCAGGTGCACCCCAATCACTAAAAGTGAAAATTGGGTTTTGTAGTAGTTTAAATAATTCAAATCTTTTCAGTGATTGAAGCAGAAACGACAAAACTTTAGTTACCGTCATAGTGACACCCGCAGCCCAACATAAAATCTCTTTCTGGAGTCTCCTCCTAGTACTTCCAATGCATGAATGGGATATGACCCAGTGAAAACATTTGTTAATGGAGTCGGTAGCTACAACTTGTGTGGTTGTCATGGTTACTACCCCTTGCACACAGTGGGGAGGCAGTGCTGAATAATACCGGAGAAGAGGTGGGAGGGACCTGCTAGTTACATTAGCCTCAAGTTTTCTTGGTCAAGTTGGTTCTCCACTGAAGGATTCAAATTCTGCAAAGGTTCTACAAAGGTTTTCATTTCCAACAAGAAGACTCATAGTTTGATCCAAAGAAAGGTCTTCAAGGAAAACAATAAATTCCCACAAGTAAGCACTGCATTTAGATATAATAACTATGAATGACACATACTTTTTAAAGTACTTTGTAGAAACTGTTAACATTAACAGGCACTTCATAATCATCAACGATTTACTATTTCCAGTTGTTAGTTCCAATCTTTAGCATTAACAAAAGTACAAACAGAAAATCATAGCAGCTCCAGCCTGATTGGGAAATTTGCTTGAGAAAAAACACTGAGTTGCTAGAGATAGATAGATAGTTAGTTAAATAATAAAGGCAAAAGTGATGCAGTGGGAAGTTAACACAACACACTCTTAAATTATTGTACTTTTAAATATTGCATAACTTTTATCCAGAGAAAAGTTTCCTGCATTTTGTTTTAAACATTGTTGGAACTTTGTCCAGTACACTGATGCAATGTGAAGAAATGTGGACCAGGAGCTGAATTAATTTGTTAACTTCAGCTCTGATTGGGTAAACCCCTTTGTGAAACTTTAATTACGTCCCCCCTTTAGCTTTGAGATCGAAATTACACACGGAAAACTTTACATCAAAAAAGAGGGAAAATCACAAAAATGTTTGAATTTATGGTAGAAACAATGTCCATTTTGTTCTTTACTAATATCATGCAGCCACTAGGGGGAAGTGTTGTACAACTAAACCCAACCTCATTCAAATGAAAAGTTAAAGTAGCTGAGTGACATTACAACTGATATCAAAGTGAACTGGAAAAGAAGAAACACAAAGAGTACAAGATTGCATTGTGTGCGTTCCTGTTGCTCTGCGCACGTATGGGTGTTTCTGTGAGGAATTACGAGCCAAGAGTGCGAGCTGCCAAGCTGCCAAGCTGCCAAGGGCCTTGCTGGATATGACACGCTCTGATTTGGAGACATCTGGCTATATGCAGAAACACACCCCTGCACACATGGGAACACTTGCCTGCATAATGGTTCTTCTTTGACAATCACACGCACAAACACACACCTCTCTCAGCTGAAGCATTTCCTTGTCTTTTTGCTCCAGCAGGCCCTCCAGCTGGTGGATGGTCATCTCTGCATCCGCCAGTCTCCTCGTCCTCTCGTGGTCCTCCTCAGCTGCCCTGGACGACAGGCCTTTACTCTGCAGCATTTCCAGTAGCTTCTTTATTGATTCGTCCCTGTCAGGCAAAAACAAAACCAAGTTAATGGAGTACTTTAGAAATTGGCAGCATGAAGAAGTTATGCAAGTTTCAAGCTGTTGTTTATCGTTACCTGGCAGTAAGTGTGTGTTTCTGTGTGTCTATCCTCAGCTCCATTTCTTCGACAGTCTTTCTCAGCAGGAAGAGCTCTTTGACTTGCCGCTCGTACTCGGCATGGAGACGCAGAAAGTTCTCCTCTGTCATCTCTTGAGGGGAAATGGGCTGGTTTCCAAGGCGCCCGGACTCCGAGTAATCGGATTGAAAAAGCTGGTTGAGATCACGCTGGATTCTGAGCTCATCTTGTAAAGCCTGGATGGTGCATTGAAAATGCTGGCAGGAGCCAAAAAAGATCAGTTAGAGAGCGTAACAATGACAATGTTGCGGCATTTCTCAGAAGATTTCTCAAAAGATTAAGGGAGTGTGAAATAAGATTTTTACTTTTATTTTGTGAAACCAGACAATATAACATTTGCAGAGGCCTGACATTAATGTTCATTAGTATGTCTCCATTTCCTGTTAACTTAATATCTAGAGTGAAACTGCTTAGTCATTTTGGCTTAGTATAAGTGCCAAGAACATAATTTTCCCACCTCTTTTTACAAACTGGCTCTCTCCAAATATGCCTGTTTGCAACTAATCTCCAAACCAAACCTTTATGGTGTTTTTTGGTCTGATCTGTCTGTCCAATGTGGGACTGTATTTATCTCCATTACTCAGCGTTTTTTCATTTAATTAGGCGTAAAAAGTTAACAACATTACAGAGGACATATAGACAGGAATTAAACACCATATTTTTTTACTAGAAATGACTGCTATTAAATCATGTTAAAAAATAGAACGGCTGCATATCAACCCCATAATCTATATCCACAGAGGTCACAGATCCTCATCCACTGAGTCCATCATGCTGATTTTGTTATTTTTAAATCCAAATCAGTCTATTTGGAATAATCCGCCATCAATTAATCAAATCCAGTTATCAGGCATTTCTGAGCGTACTGAGTTTTGGGCTGCACATTGACTGACTAACATAGACTTTTCACGGACTTTATGTAAGATTGGCTTTGATTTTTTAAAACTTTATTAATCGATGTGGCCACCTCAGCTTTTTTAACTTTCTTTCCCAGGCAAAGTAGCTTAGCTGAAACCTGAATTTCTTGAGGTTGTGGTCTGTTAGATCAGAGTGACAGCATGGAAATACTTCAAGCTGTCACAAGTTAACACCATGTCTGACTAAAGAATCAGAGAAGCATGTGAATGAAAAGATTTCCACTGGAAATTCAGCTGGATTAATACACACTACCTTTACAACAAAAATAATTCAGGTAATCACACAGATACAGGAGTCAGTCCACCTCTGACCACTTGATCTTGCTGTTTAGTCTAGAAATAAGAAGCCAGATCTGAAGCTGTTAAGAGTTTCTCCTTTATGTGAAGGTTACACTCTTGCAATCCACAACCTCCCTTCTAGGTGTCACTAGATAAAACTGCTTCAGGAAGCTAAATGCAATCTGTGTGGCTGAGGTAATAAGGGTTTAAAATAAAAAATAAACAAATAAATAACATCACTGCTAAGCTACCCTTTTTCACATAACTGATCTAAACCTGTGCTGCTTATAAATCAGTCGAACACTGGATGATCCATAGGAGAACACTGTGTGGTCACAGTGCACAGCAGATAACAATATGTAAACAAAAATCCAAATCTGAAGACTTTGTACTTCAAACCATGGATCATCTTTGTGGATGGGTTACAAAACCACGTCGACAGGTAAATACTACAACCATGATCACTAAGGGCAACCAGACACAGAGGCCCTGAGTCACTAAACTGCAGGGCTCTTTGTGTGCGAGTGAGTGTGAGATGTCCTCATGATGCCCATGGACTCTTAAAATGCGTCACACACAACCTAAACGGCTGCCAGGTCATCACCTCAACAGTCATGCAGTATTTTCAGAGATAAAAATAATAGATGTCGCTAAGAAGTGAAAGAGGAGCAAACGCATGATGGATGAAGTAAACAGGAGAGTGAAATGATAAAAGAGGTGAACAAAAGAAAGTTAAAAGGTCATCAAAGGCACTTCCCTCCAGCTATCCTTAATCTGCACTGATGAAGAAAGAAGGAGATAAAAGGAGAGGAAGTGACGAATGGAGAGGCAAAGAAAAACAATAATTGGATATGAAGGGAGAAAAAGGTTAGGGCAAAAGCAGGAGATACTGATCAGACATACACTGTTTTGCATAAACAGACACAGGGAAAGTGAAAAGATTAAAAGTATAATTCTGCAGCAGTCTCCTTCAAAAGCTCTGCATTGTTTTGGGTGACAGTCTGGGCGGCGTCTGACCTGCCCTGTTTGTTCATTTCCACGACGAGGGGATGATTAACACCATAATCATCTTAATCATTCTTCCTTGGTGGAATACTGCTCTGCTGACTCAGACTCACTCACATGGGCTGACAGCTGACATGGCAAAGTCTTTCCTGTAGACAGTCATGGAAAGTCTCCTTTCTCGCACATGAATATTGCTTTTCTTGTTTAATCTTTCTGTCTTCTTGCCAACAACGACTCCTCCCTAACCCTGTAACACTTAACGCTTAAAGGAAAAGCTGCCATTTTTGGTTGCGCGTGTGACTTTTTAGCCTTCTGCATATTTTCTGGGCTTATGTGTGTGTGGTGATCGAGTTTGGAGATTTCAGCTAGTTTCAAGACATAGATAACACTTCGGGGAAATGTCAAAAGAAGACCAAGAAAACAGATGAGAAGTGCAGAAAAAAGAAAAGCTAAATAGATCCCATCATATGCAGAGGGATCATTATGAACTATTTCTAACTTTTGGCACCTTTTTCTCAAACGGAACCTTTTGAACAAACATCAGCATCTTTGTCTCTGCTGCAGGACCAGAGAAGGAAGGCCACACACAGAATCATTACAGGCATCATCCCCATGTGGGTGCAGTTAGGGACAGCAAATTGAATGCAGCTTATTTGATGAAGCGCGTTAATGTTGCGACAGGCTTGACCTTAGCCTGCTTAGTGAGTGGCAGCGAGAGAGAAGGAACAGCACAGCAGCCGATGAGGAAGAGGAGAAACCAAGATGTTCTCTCAGTTCTTATGTAATCATGTCCAAACGTAAACAGAGATGGAAATAATGATTGAAATAACTAAAACAGGTTCTGAATGTCTGAATCCTCATGATAGGGTGTCAAATGCTGTAAAAGGACACGGTTAGAAAGAAAACTTTAAGATCTTGATCAGTTGTACTTGTTTAATGATGATGAAGGACTGCAAAAGATGCAGACGCAAATGCTCAATGATGCTGAATATCTTGGCGTCAGGATGGGAATCATATTAAAAAGAGACATTTCCAAATAACAAATGTAAATATTGGAAAATGTAAAGAGCAGAGTCATGCTCATTACCGATGATATAAATATATAGGGAGAGATAGAGAGAGAGAGATATGTTTATAATATGATTAATTTATGATTAATTTATTATTCAATGAAGCGTTTAAACATTGAAAAGATGAACACTCACGCTTATATGAACCAATGCTACAACAAACAACTAAAACTATGTCAGAGTTGATTAAATAAATGTATGCACAGAGAACACACACAAGAATTAATTTCAGTCAGCTCGTGCGAGAAGTCAAGCAAATACAGTATAAACTCTCACACACAACTTCAAAACGCAATGTTTGAGGAATTCAGAAACATCACACACACACACAAACACTCTAACACAACCGGAATGTAGAACTGACAAATGCCAGACCACTAGAGAGGGAGAAGGGAGGGTCAGATCATATGAAGCAAGAGGGAAATAACACAAACAGAGAGGAAAGTAAGAGTGATAAAGTGTGGAAAAAAGAGAGAAAATAGCGTTAATTGTGTCCGTCGGAATTAAAGAAAGGGCAGAGTGGGATAGGACAAGAGTCAGAATACAAGTTGTGTTTTTCTTCATAGTTTTTGCTGAGTTGTCTTTGGCCTGATCACCTTTGATCCTATCAGACACTTCCCACCTCCACAGGGACCATGTCCAGCACTCCACTCAAACACAGACATACACACAAACACACATGTTCTGGACACTGGTTCACGTTCATAAAAACGGAAAGAAGTCATGCATCAGCAAAAGACCACAGCTGAAGATAATGTGTTTAAAAAACCCAAGTAATGACAACTTAACAGATCCAAACGGCTTCCGTCTGTGTTTTCGGTTCTCAGTCTACTTGTAAAATACAAGTTAGAGTACGCAGAAATATGGAAGTTAAAGCCAAAAGATAAAAAGAAGTTTGCTCATGAAATTCACACATTTTTGGATGAAAAAAAGCATCCGTGTTAAAGTATGAAACTGAAGCTGTTTACTGAGGCTATGAACAGTTGATTCTTTCTATTTCATATAGTGTGCAGAAGCCATCACTCTGTTCTATTTGGTTGTTTACATGCATTTGTCAGCGACCTATTTTAATAGAAACATTTCAACAATAGTGGCAGCCTCAGTGCACAGGTAGGTACTTGCTGATATTTTCATGCCTCTGCACCCACATCAACAAAACAGGTACAAAGCAGCAGATTGTACTCAGGTGGTTTCCACCTGTGCTCGCACTCTTATCAGAATAAAAAATACCCACATGTTTAAAATGAATTACCGGTGTCTGTTTCCAACAAAACGGCTTTTATTCAACAACTGAATTGTAACTCTGTTAGTAATGTAGAAAATGGGTTAAGTTATAGGTAAAACATGCAGTCATTGTTCACAAAGTTGTATAAGTACAGCCTGAGTCAAACATTTTCCTTACATTTTAAATTAATGTTAAGGTCTAGGAATAACATTAATTAAGAATAATAAAACAAGACTGGACAAATAAACTGTCTCTTGCAATCAAATGAAAATCCAAAAAAGAGCGGAGACAAATCAGCCACTGAACACAGTGACAATTCTTTTATTCGCTCATCATCATCCCTCCCTCCGGCCACTGCTCATCTGTCTTTCAATATATACCATCCCTTCATTATTACTCCTCCACCTCATCCCTCGCTTATTCTGTTCTCTCTGAATGAGTCATGCTTTTCCCTTCGCAAACACACACACACACACTGTGACAGAAAAATACCCGAACACACACTTAGATGGGCACAAACACACGTGGCGTGCACGATGATGCCCACACGTGCAGACACACACATGTGATGTCGGAGGCAGCGGTCATGCTGTGTGTGCATGTGTGTTTGTGTGTAATGACCGTGAGGAGTTTGAAAGCATCGCCCACTCAGGCATTAGACAACAGGAAGATTAGCACACTCTCTCGTCTTCCTCTGAGGA